AAGAAGAAGGAGGAGAAAAAGGCGTACATGATAGCTCAAGGTCCGAAAGAAGTCCCGGGGATGACGGAACCCAATAGCAGTCTCAACCTTATGGCGGGGAAGCAGGCCACTAAAGAAGATGACGACCCGATGGAGCAGCTCTTTGTGCTTAAGTTGCAAGTGAAGACCAGTTTGGTTGATGTCATAGTTGATTCGGGTAGCGAGAAGAATTTGATATCCGAAGCTTTGGTTCAGAAGTTGGGTCTGAAGACGGTCAAGCATCCGAAGCCCTATCCATTGGGGTGGATTCAGAAGGAGGAGAAGCTAAGTGTAGTTGATCAATGCACTGTAAGATTTGCGCTCCATGAGTCGTATATTGACGAGGTCACATGCGACGTAGTTCCATTGGATGTTTGTCAGATTATACTGGGCAATCCGTACTTATAGGATAGATATGCGATCTACGAGAGGCCAAGGGTGGTAAAAAGTTCATATTTCGTTCGGCATCTCTTCCGAGGGAGACAAGCTTTGGGACGGTGACGCGAGCGAAGAGGTTAGTGAATGCAAGCAAGAAGTTTGTCTCGATGTGCATTAGACTTCCAGAAAAGCCATCGATGAAGGATTGCAACTTGGAGCAAAAAGTGACTATGACGAAACGCAGGATGAATGAGTTATTTCTGATCGGACGTCGAGATCAGATTCTTAGCAAGGCCAGGTGGTTCAGAAAAGGAGGAGGGGCTCGCGAGTTCCCTCAGCTTCAGTTCTAACTTGAACGGGACTTCAAGTTCCTAAAGGGGGGACTCATGATACGGGTGTATCTTCTTTTCTGTCTCGGGAGCTTAGTGATCATCATGGGAGCTTGAGGATAGATGATTCTCATGATATCTTGAGAATAGAGTCGTGGTTGGAGCCAAAGAAGACGGCGAAAGAAGTCGGAAGAAGCGAAACGCAGAAGAACAGGGTAAACTGGCAGTTCTCTGTCCGGTCGACCGCGGCACACATGCCGGTCGACCGGACAACCCTGCAGGGCATAGGGAACAGAAAGTTCTCTGGCCAGTCGACCGGACCATGCTTGGCGGTCGACCGGATCGTGAATTCTGGGTTTCCTGTTTCGTTTTGGATTCTGTTCTGACAGAGACTCCTCTTTCTTTTGGGCTTGTTTATTTACAAGATTGCCACCCACGTTGTACCTGATATAAATAGGTTATTGTAGGGTTTCAAAAGGGAGACCTTAAGGAGAGAGAAATTCTAATAATTGTATTAGGGTTTAGAGAGAGAGTTGAGAGGTTATTCTCGATTCTAGTGAGATTGTGAGAGAGGGATTGTAATCTTTTCATACTCATAATCTAGAGAAGGTAATTTCCTTCGCCATACTGAATTGTTCTTGTGTTTTGGTCATCCTCTTTTCAACCCACTTTTTGGTAATTCCGCGACCAAAGGGTGCTCGCACGGCAACTCGTATTAGCAGGGAAGAACAACTCAACTCAAAACCAGATATTCGGAGAAGTTAGCGGTCCATATTCAACTCAATTCATATTCGTTTACATGTGTGATTTAGATCACTAATAGTTTGACGTCTACCGTGGGGCCTTCTCTCTTTTTCGAGCAAGCATGTCTGGTTCTGAGTATAGGGCTGACGAATCCATTTCTGGAGGACCGCACCAGAGCTACGTCACTTAAGTCTAACTTGAAGAGATGACTCAGAAGATCTCTCAGAGCCTCCAACAGCAGCTCACTACCTTCAAAAGCGAATTCCTCCGCCGGTTTCCACAACCGTAGCAAATTACTTCCACTATTCCTCTGCCCTCAGGAGACCAGTGTCGGGGACTCATCCCCCTTCTGAAGCTCAACATGTAGTCCCCCTCGGACTTCTTACGCTGCTTCGGAGGGATCATGTCGAACACGTGACTCCACCACCATGCCAGTCAACTCGCCCAACGGATCCTCGTCGATGCCTCCTCCCTAACTCTGAAGCCACCAGCGAGAGCCCCAGCTCTAGTCGCCATAAAGAGCACGCCGTGGGAGTAATGTCTAAGACTCCCCGTCATCAGCGTGCTTCTCCAGCCCTCTTGGCCACCCATAGGGCATCTAGATATATGATCGGGTGTACAGACCGATCGTCGAAGCTATCGGGGGGAACACCCCCTTACTGACGACCTCATGAACGCCTCCTGGGACAAGTTCAAGATGCCTCACGTGGAGAAGTACAAGGACGAAGGAGACCCTGCCAAGCATGTCCAGAACTATTATGATATGATGAGCATGCTCTAAGCGTCAGAAGCTATCATTTGTTGGTGTTTTCCTATCGCTTTGTCAGGGAGTGCCAAGCTCTAGTGGAATGCCCTTGTGAAGAAGTCCATCAGCAGCTTAGCCTGAAGTTCATCAGCAGCTTCCAAGTTCTGGTGGAATGCCCTTGAGAAGAAGTCCATCAGCAGCTGACACTAAACAAAAGTTGTCCCCTCATGTGTTGATACAAATGATGTAGGAACCTGGGGAGAGGCTTCGAGCTTACTTCAAGAGGTTCTAGGCGAAGAGACTGAAAGTCAACGACCCAGGTAGTTTAATGGCTATGTCCACTCTTGTAGCCGGCCTACAGAACAATGAACTGGTCGACTCCCAGGCTAGAAGTTGGTCGCTAATTATGAGCAACTGATGGCCAATCAAATTTCAACATAAGATGAATAAGTCAACAATAAAATTTCTCTTTTTTTTCATTTAACCTTGAATAAGTAGGAGGCCCAATCAAATTTCCTCTTCTTGGGCAAAGCAAGCCCAAGGGACAAGATTCAATCTTTTGCACTCTCCTCTTATCAAGAGAACTAAACAACAAAAGGGTAATCATCAAGTTTCAATCTTTCAACAAAAAATGTTGGCTACTACATGGTAGGAGAGACCCAACTGCGATTCAATGACAGCCGGAATAGAATTTGCCACTGCCAGAGGTGACCAAATCTCTACTGACAACCCCACCACCATCTTCAAAGAAGATGGTAGCGGTGGGGGGCCTAACCGCCGTCAATGTGGCAGGCCATCGGGAACAAATAATAAGGCCATAAGCTAAAACCCGCAATCATCATAAACCAAGATAGTCCCAACGCTCTCCGGTCCCACATGCTCAAGATCAACGTAGGCATTCCAGAATTTGTCCAAGACAAATTGATGTCGTCTTCGCCTTTATCAAAGTTGGAGGTTGAAAAGAATTGATGGAGGGAGGAAACCCTAGTTGGTCGAGTTGGGGGTGGAGGAGAGGGGTTGGGGCAAGCAGAGGGAGGTGGAGGAGGGAAGGTGGATGGGGGGATGGTAGGGATGTTGGTGCAGGGAGAGAGATCCATCAAGATTAAGGGAGATTTGGAGATGCTTGTAAGGGCCCATTAAAGTAGGGATGAAGACAATGAAGAAGATGAAGAATGAAAGGTTTTGGTGGGTAAAATAGAGAGGGGTAGTTTAGAATTTTAGGAAAATATAGTATACAGCGTGTATATAGCTGAGTTGGCTGGACCTAATCACATGAGAACTTCATTTTGGGGGCTTAGTTACATGCCCAATAAGTTGAAGGGGTTAGTCACATTAGGTTCTTGAAAAAGGGGCCTCAACACAATTTTTCCTTAGATTTCCTTCTTGGGATTTAAATTGCTCTCTTTTTTGTGCTAAAGGATCATGCTTAGAATAATCAATTATAGTAATAATTAGTAAAAAAAAATTGATAGGCCATATTTATCTTAAATAGTTTGATAGTTTATACCTTCTTAGTTTTAAAATTACTATATAGTTATTTATTTATATTCATGAATGGTAATATTGCTTGAAAATATTTTTGATAGGTTACTAGTTTTGAATAACTTGATAATCTATGTTTCAGAATTCTAACTAATATAAGAATTAAAAGAGAGTAGTTCTTAAATCCAAATAACTAGTGAATTCAATCCTAGATTCGTAGTGTATTATATTGATTTTCAATTCTAACTAATATAAGAATTAAAAGAGAGTAGTTCTTAAATCCAAATAACTAGTGAATTCAATCCTAGATTCGTAGTGCATTATATTGATTTTCTCTATTTCTCTATTTGCTTCTTCTGTTGGTTTTTTATTTTCCTTTATTTGCATCTTCTATTTCTCTCATTCTCTTTTCTTGTCTTTAGCCTTTTTATTTGTAACAAACCTCACCCAAACCACACTCTACACTCTCATCTCTTTCACATTTCAAGTGCCTCTTTAGGATATTCTTTAATACACCTTCCTCGTAGAATCAACACTTACATACTACACACAGTAGTTGTGCACTTGCAGCATTTTAATTAGAGCAAATCAAATTCTCAACTACGTATTTCACTTTTATCCATTTCTGAATGGGGATTATAAACCAACTATTACATGGTTCAGGAACTTAAATTTATACATTGCTAATAATTTGCACACAAAGTCTAAGGACTACGTGTGCAAATGGACCGGTATGCCTCGGACATGATATTTATCAACTCCGTATCTATTTACCAATCACAGATAAGGATATGTGTCAGCAAAAAAACACATATTCACACCCGCTAAAATTGGATACATATATAGGTATACATGTGGATATACGTTCATATACAAAATGAATGTGATAATATTAAAAAAAATTAGTTCATATACAAAATGAATGAGATAATATTAAAAAAAAATTAGTTCATATGACACAAAAGAATTCATTAATATGCTCTGTATATTTGAAAACCTAACATTATAATTTTTTTTTTATCATCAAAATTAGCCTCAAATCCATTTAGATTAAAGTTGTTGTGCATGTATGATCAACTTATATCCGGATATTTTGGATATAGATCCGGATATTTCACTACATATAAATATCCATAATCATATGATAGAATATAGATATTTGATAATCATATTGGTGTCTTGACGGATACAGATAGAGATATATTTGTGAATACGTATATAGATATTAGTAACCATAAAACTTTTTACTCAAATTTTCTTCATGCAACTTGGCAGAGGTCCACATCTGAAGTCTCAAAAACAGGTAAAGTACAAACCCCAAAGGTCTCCAAAATGCTAAATTTTCTGTGTCAATAATATGCCATAAAAATCAAAATCTCTAACTCAATCATCTTCAAGTGAATATTTACTTGTACAAATCACCAACAAAAATCAACCTGTAGTCTCACAACGACAGATCTCTAATTCTCTGGCAGAATCAATCATTGAAGAATGTCAGACGTGAAGATATCGGTCTATACTGATATAAAAAAGCTATAAGCTAGCTATAGTTCCGCTTTCGATGCACCAAGCTGGCTGAATAAAATGGCCATATCCATTCCTTGGATCATAGTAGACATCGCGGTCTCATAAGGACACTCCTTTGAGAATCCAGTCTTCCCTGATTTCTTTACTTTCCTGATGCAATTCTTGAACTTCTCATGGCATTTCACACTCATTAACCCTGAGAATTTCAAAAAAAAAAAGGAAAAAGAAAAAGGTTAGCATCCACCTTCTCACCAATGATAGAGCTCTTAGAAAACATTACAGTTCAGATAACAAATTCATACTGTATATACAGTTTCAGGCTGTATACAAGTGGTTTGCAGTTTCATGTCACTTAAGATGCTCAAGAATACCCTGTTAATGAATATGGCCTGCAACTTGGGATTCACGAGGAGAGAGGGGGAATATGGTCTATTTCAGTGCAAATGGCTAAATAGAATTTAACAGTTTTTGAAATTATATTTTGCGTAGTCATGAAACTAGTGGATTTCGAGAAATTTATAATTCATCAAGGAGAATGAACTTTTTATAAACCCTTGAGAATATGCAAATGCAATATCCTAACTAGCAATAGATGTGGGCTGGTGATATTAGTAATATAATAGATATCTAACTCTTGTTATAAGCAGAATGACATCAAGAGAAAGGTACTCGTAGAGAAAATTAGATAACTTTGCTTGAAATATCAATAGTCATAAGTCCTAACAGGTATCACCAACAATCGAAAAGTACTAAAAAAATAAATCCGTGGGGCACCATGGGGCACAATTTGGGAACAGGAAATTTTGAATTGGTATACATGATGATAATGATATTGCATCTCTAGAGAACTATTATAAATTTTAAAGAAAAAACACAAGTCACCCACCAAAAATATGACAAAAGAAAGTCTTTTATGTATAAGTAGAGGAGTTTTGTTTTCAGTAATAAGTTTTAATGCAAAACAATCTAGCCTTATTTTGGAACTGACAGTGAAGAGTAGAGCTCTTAATACATTTTATTTTATATCATGTAGAAAGTCAATACAGAACCTGACTAGATGTATCATGATGATGTTACCAATTCCTTGTCTTCTCTTTCCCATTTATTTCTCGATGCCAGTTCCATACTTCATATGATTTCAGTTATTACCTATCATGCTGAGAGTTGATAACGAGGAAACAAATTATATCATCTCCAAGCCCATCTAGGATTCAAATGTAGTGTGTTTCACCCATGAAAAGTGGTCGATCTAAGGTCTGAGACTCTGAGCTCAAGATATGGTCCAAGAAGAAGAAAATAAAAAAACAGGAAATTATAGTAATATAAATAGCTTTACAGAAGAAACTATATTTGCAACAATAAAGAAATGCCAAGGACCGATACAGTTTGGAGATTTCAAACACATATTGTGCAAGAAAAAAATCAGTGTAAAGAAATTTTTCTCTCCAGCTATTCTTAGGAGATAATGTACCTGAAAGCACGTCACTAGTTTTCTCATTTTAGACCAAAATATCGTACAAAAATTATCCTTTAGACAGGGAGTGTACATTTATCAGAAGGATAGTGGATATAAAATTACCAAAGAAAATATTTCCCGCTATTCTCTTTTCACAACGTGATTGTTTCATCCCGATTTCATGAGCTTGAACTGCCAATTGTTGGTTAATTGTCTACCGGTGTTGAGTTATACGGAAAGCATCTACAAACTCCTCAGCTAGAATGCAGCACAAAGTGGGTGTTAGGTTGACATAGATAGCAGTTTGACGGCATAAGGCTGCCAAAGCATCCATCAAATAAGCTGAAGAATGGATTTTACACAGAACTACATGACAAAATCAAGAATGGAGTTTGGATCTCGGTTTATGGCATTCAAAACCGAAAAGTCTCCACATCGTCTCTTCCAATACCGTGATCTCCTTCGTGAAACTTTGACGAGTTCATGACTATTCCTTGTGCTACAAATTATTTTGGCCGTCTTCACTGGACATGGTTCACCAGTACCCATCTTTTGTTTATAGGCAGCAAAACAAATTTATTAGATTAATTCTTTTCTATAGCAGGTGGAAGCACCAACATATAAAGTCATCAAATTTCATGAAAGGCTGCTCTCTCTGTCTCTCGGCTAAGAATACAAATCTGGACTAGAGAGGTTGGTGATATATGCATGGTTGTATAAATTGCTAGATCCTACCACCTATGACTAGTGACAAAGAGTGCCTTCATAGTCAAACCCATTTTTGCAGGCAAAAGGCTCATTTAAAGATGAATAAACAGTTAATCTTCTGTTTAGGGAAGATGGAGATCGCAAGCAAGAAGAAAGGCCCTAATGTTGCAGGAGTTAAGGTGAAAGGTTGTACAACTAATAATAATACATAAAAAATGAAAAGAAAAATAAAAACTAGGAAGTCGCAGGCAAAGATGAAGTTGACTAAAAGATGGTGCAACAAGTGTAGTCAATTGAGCTTCTGTTGCTGACAACAATTGAATTCAGACTATGCAAGCTAAAACGGTAACCGGTGTTGTAGGTAAGCTGGCTAAGTCAGCTGGAGCAAAGATACAGCCCACAAAGCACTTAAGAGAGCTAAAACCAAACTGACCCAATCAAGTATGACTTCTTGATATGTTAATCGAGTTTATCTCAAGTTTGGATCCATTTGTCAGTAAAACTAGTTGACCTGAAAAAAAATCAGTCTATGAGTAATGGCAAAGAGTTAAAGACTGCCTTCGTAGTCAGACCCATTTTTGTAGGCAAAAGGCATATTTAAAGATGAATAAACAGTTAATCTTCTGTTTAGGGAAGATGGAGATTGCAAGCAAGAAAAAAGGCCCTTATGTTGCAGGAGTTAAGGTGAAAAGGTTGCACAAATACTAATAATATATTTAAAAAATGAAAAAAAAAAAACTAGGGAGTCACAGGCAAAGATGAGGGTGACTAAACGATGGTGCAACAAATGTAATCTATTGAGTTTCTATTGCTGACAACAATTGAATTCTGTCAACGCAAGCTAAAATGGTAATCGGTGTTGTAGGCAGCTGGCTAAGTCAGCTGGAGCAAAGATAAAGCCCACAAAGCACTGAAACAGAAAGCTAAATGAAACTGAACCAATCAAGTATGACCCCTTGATATATTAATACAGTTTATCTCAAGTTTGCATCCATTTGTCAGTAAAACTAGTTGACCTCAACAAAATCAGTCTTTATGAGTAATGATTAAAAAATTTGTCATGAGACCAGTCACACCTTACAAATACATGCATTATTGAGTTTATATGTGCAGTTTGATGTTAAAAAACCACTAATACATAGCGCATGCCTGTTATTCCATACTAAAAGTACATGCATCCTTCTATGGTGACCAAAAAATGTTCATCTATCTTGGATATGTGCTGTAGAAATTGTGAAAATTTAAGCATTTCTTACATAATAAAAAAAATGAATATTTGGTTGTGTTGTCCTCTCTATAGTACTGTTAAAGTATACTTTAAAAAAATAATGAAAGATTGAGCATGTCATTGAGAAAGTAATGGAGGAGGATAACCAAGTATGTGCTTGCTGAATATTACGTTTTCTACGTATCTTCTTCTCTTGCCTACTAGATTCTTTTTTCTTGCCCATGTTTTCTTCTAATAGAGATCTAGACATCATATGATACTTTTACCTAAACCCAAATTTCCTCCACTGACCATTCTAAATCTTCTAATGTTGTAATTCAAGATTACACTAGCTAGTTGAGAACCTCATTTTTTAAATAAAAGATACAGGTTATGCAGTATAAGGAGATTCTCTCCTCATGCCAGTATCTCAAGTTAACAGAACTTAAAATCTAAACTGCATGACGATTCATGATGTAAATCTCATAATTCTAAGAAAAACACATCAGATAACCACTATTAACAACAAGCTCAAGCTAATGGCTTAGGCAGCAAGAAACTTTTAGCAAACTCATGAAGAAACAAAGCAAGCTTCTGATGAGAAGATGACTCGTCCTGTAAGGTAAAAAAATCTGGTTGAGATAAATGTATCCAATAGTTTAATAAGGTTCGAAGCTAAGACTTTTTAGTCTTGCAAGTCAATGCACACTCACAAAAAAAAATTTGATGATCTTTATTCTACCATCGCAGCTATTTCTTTGTAATCTGATCTTCTACTATGGCTGCTCCTTTTTTCCTTGATTGTCAAGCTATTGTTGTCTTAAATTCCTGTCTTCACCCTATTTTCTTCCCTTCATCTTGCCTGACCATCTCCCTCCCATAGTCCCATTTTTCCTGTACTTATATAAAAACTGGTTCACTATTTGTACGATTAGTTTATACTTAAACTTCCTTGTTTTATGAATGCTTCTCATTTCTTTTACTTATAATTTTCCTTAATATTTTTAAGAACTTCCCCCACCTTTTTTGCTTCTAAATATCTTATGAGAAATCCTTTTGCTTACACATGTCTAGTAGTCACCAATGTTGAAAATAACAATAACATATAAAATAACAATAACATATAACATAATGCTCTACTCTTGTTAAGGGTTAATTGAAAAAACCGTAAAAACCCGTAACACACAATGTAGGCTATTTTGTTTGCTAATTATTTAAAAATTTTATAAATATAAACTATTCATAATGACTTTAATAATTAGAATTATCAAAATTTTCAAACATGGGGGAGGGCTGGAAGAGGAGTTAGGATTTAGAAGCATTCGTCTTCATTGAGAGAGGTAGGGTTTAGAAGTTGGAGAAGCACAAGAAGTGGAGATGAGGTTAGGATTTTCCACATTGGAGATAAGAGATGGGGGAGCCAAGGAGGACCTAGAGAGAAGCCATGTCGTCAATGGAGATAGAGAACAAGAAGAGTCTTGTCGTCAGCAAGAGGTTTTGTCTTTGTCGAAGTCGCGAGAGGTAGAAGAGATGGAGATGTTTTCTTCTTCATAGAAGGCATGAGATGGAAGGACGGAGATGAGGGTGGCGCTAGAGAGGGTGTAACGCCCCGCCCCGGAATCCCGGAGTCGGTACGCTATTAGATCTAATGGACTGGCCTCACAAACCACCACATGTCTTTTCAGCACGTTTTGTCCTTACTCACGCGCTCCCTGGAAAACTTCCCGGGGGTCACCCATCCTAGAATTTCTCCAGGCCAAGCACGCTTAACTTTGGAGTTTCTAAGAGTTGGGTTCCCAAAAAGAAGATGCATCTTGGTGGTATGAGTATTCCAATCAAATCTATCAATACTAATCACATCATCCTCTCAAGGGTTGGGGTATTACAGAGGGGGTCGAGGGACTGCTAGGATTTTTCACGTGCGCAAAATTAGGGTCGGGGATTTGATTGAGAACTTATTTGGGTTAGCGTAATACTGATTTGGACGCTAGAGAAATTGTCACACATCCAAATCTGATCACTAGTTTAAATCAATTTAACAAGCGTTACATAACACTTAACGTAAAGCAGATACGTGTTTGTTAGTGTTATTGTCTATGATGATGCAACATGGGTTTCTTGTAGCTTTTATAACGATGGCTCCGTTAGGTGTCAAAACGAGTTATAACGAGATTCAAAAACAGGTCTTTTTTCTACATTGTTAGTCACTATAGAAGTTCAACAAAATGGATTGAGACTCGAGCTACTTCCTCCAAACAACTGCACATTACAAATACTCCAAGCTCATCTTGCATAAACACGTTAGTCATAAAGCAGATTAGCGACGAATTATTTCTTATATTACTCACAAAGAAGATGAACCACAATTTATTTCCAGATCTAAAAGACCCCATATCTATAATCAAAAAGAAAAAAAAAATGAAACAGAACCAATTATATCCATCACACTTCGTTAAAAATAATGAAACTAAAAAGTAATTAATTCATTAGTATAAAAACAAAAGATACCTTTTTTCTCGACACAATCATCATGAAGCCTGCAACAATCATCAAGATCATCACAGGGCTTCTCTCCTGGACAGCCCGACCACCCAACTCCACAATACTTCCCGTATCGGATCCCGATAGCTGATAAATTTTCAAAAAATTGGGAAAAAATCTAGAGACTAACAAATATTGAAAAGCTACCCAAAGTTCAAAATTTTCTTTAACTCACTGTCGCAGTTCACAGCTACGCAAGTTTTGCTGCATGAAACCTTGCGACACAGAAGGAGATCAACGTCATCAAATTAGGGCTAGTCCAAGATTGCATCTTTACGGCGGGAGAAATGAGAGGTGAG